GTTTGTTATATCTTGTGTCTGGCCTTAAAAAAATGAGAGGGATTTCTGTCAGGCAATGGCTTTGTAGTGCTTCTTATTGTCACCAAAACCAGTAAAAGATATCTATAAATTCTCTACCTTTTTAAAAATAAGCACCATCAAAACCAGCCAGTTCCCTAATGAAACCTGCCATGTGTGGTGGCAAAGGAGACGTCTCTGTGTGCAGCCGTGGTGGTGGTTTATGGCAAGCAAAGGGAAAACCCAGCAGCTAAAACACCCAACACTAAAAATTTGCAGTACCAGAAAGTTCCTACCTAACACTGCAGCAGTTGAGATCTACAGGATAAAGTTGAAATGCACACCAGCATGGTTCAAGGATTCAAAACTTGTGCATAGAGCTGTCAGGTGGCACTTTAGAGGGAGTCTTTGTGAAGTAGAATAGATGCAAAGAGCTCAGGCTCAGTTAAATAACATTATAATCATGGTATTGACTGACAGACAGAGCCCATGTCATGAAGATCTTTTGCTCTGAGAAACACCATTTTAATACAGGGATTTAAATAGTCCTATTTAAGGAGGCCATGGTGGATTAGCAGCAAATGAAAAGGATATTATATTGAAAAAGTGTGGTCTCCTGGCTAAATTTGTCCAAGTAATTAAAATAGGTTCAGGAGTATGAAGATAAGAATGGGAGTGATATTTTCAGGATTTCTTCTCTACTATGATTTCAATAATTGAGTATTGATGTAGTTTTGGACTTCAATTAAATAGTCCTAATTTATTAAATACAATACTTTTTTCTTTAAAATTGACATAATAATTACAAAATATTGCTGCAGATTATTTGTTCCTAATCTAGGTAGGAAGTGTTGCTTCTTAATCTGACGTGGACAACTGAACTCTTTACCCCTTTTACTACTTTTCTGTGATCCTCTTAAAGAAGAAATAATGAGTCCTGTAATAAGTCAAAGGACTCAGGTGGGACCAGCTGGAGCCTTATGTGTAAGCAACAGATTTAGATTCTACCTTCACAGCCTACTCCATTAGGTGGTTACAGTTTTTATGTTCTCTCTGCTTTTCAAGGTATGATTTGACAGCTGCTAAGTGAAGGTAATAATGAGCAGTGGTAATATGGAAATGACAGCATTAATGTTTGGTATATTGGACAAAAAAACAGGTATATTTAAGTGCACAGATAGGCAGATGAAGGAGAGCAAGTTTCAAATTTTTTTTCCCCCTCCTACCCTCCATCTTGTCCATCTGGGCCATTTGCCTTACTAGTTGGGAAGTCAGCAGCAGAGACATCAATGCTTTCTTTTGAAAGCTGGGAAAATGGCTTGGCAAGCCTAATGTTACCTTCTGTTAAACAATTTTATTTGTTCTTAATTTTTTTTTATTTTTTTTTACCACCTTAAAAGTGTGAGTGAGTGCTGGAAGGTCTTTTAGAGTTGGGCTATTCTATTTAGCTTTCTGCACTTTTTCTTTCCTCTGTGCTCCTCTGAAATACTCTGATTTCATAAATGTCTTTCAGGATGATGCTTGGTTGCTAGAAAGTACCTCATGCTCTTTTCCTTTGCATTGCTGTTGCCATAGTATTGCTGTCAGTGCTATGGCACAAATGACAGGCAACATACAGCTATGACTATATAAATAGGTTTCTGTAAGAACAACTCTTTCCCCACGACATAAGATATTCTACTCTATATCTAAGCAGAAATCTTAAGTCATGTTGGGTTTTTTTGGTTGTGGTGTGGGTTTTTTTTTTTTCCCTCTCCTTAAAGGTCTGGAGCTCTGGAACACTTTTTAAGGGTAAAAAAAAATATTCCTAGAATTGTTTAGAAAGAGGCAAAGACTATTAAAAAAGTAGTGTATTCTTCAGCAGTTCAAGAATTGTAAGCCATTACTGGTTGGTTTTTGCTGTGAAAAGTCCTGACACTGCCTATTAGATGTCTGTACCCTTTAGTCACTCAGGAAAATCTATGACAGTAAAAGACCCTACAAAAAGTCACGTTAGCATTTATCTGACGTGGTTTATAAGAGTGGTGTTCTGCCATTTTCATGCTTTGAGGTGTTTTCTTCATTATGGCACAAAAACAATTTTAAAAGAGTGCTTCAAACTATGTTTAATTAAAAAAAGGAAATAAAAATGTGCATAGGAACGTAATGCTAAGTTCCACCCTGTGGTTTGTCTGGCAAACCTCTTTGAGTCCTGCTGTTGTTATTTTATAATCTCTGGAAAATCCACTGTGGTTAAAACTGGGGTTATGGGAATTCTTATCAGTTATTTTTAATATAAATTATCTAGTGGTACTATCACAACTTTCAAAATTGATTCAGGAAAGTTTTTGATGAACTTGTTAGACTGTTTCATTTATGTACTCATCCACATATTGCTTTGTAAAACTTGACAGATAAAAACCAAGATTTTGAGTGTGGCTAAAACTCCTCATGTATTCAAAACTAGGGAGAGCAGAGTGGTGTAACATTCATAGCCTTTTTAATAATCAAAATGTCTGTTTTACAATGTAAGATTATTTATTTGGAAAATTTATATACATGAATATCCAATATTTTTACATTATTATGATTTATAAGCAATAAGTACATCTGTAGTGTCACAGAAGAATTTGGGATAGGGCCTGGAATATGATTTATATCTACAGTTGTTGTTGTTTTGTTAATTTCCTCCCCTAAGAAATTAACTGTAATTTAAAAATGTTACTCTGTAAACATCAGGATGTAAAGGGATTTTTACCCCTATTTTGTTATGGTTTTAGTTTAGCTTGTGATAGAGAGGGAGAAGTGGCAAAATAGTGCTGTCCAGTATGCACAGAAAGTGCAACCATTCTGAAATTTTGTTTTCAGGGCAGCATTTAAATACCAGCTCTTCACTGGGACCCACACATTTTTATTTGTTTGTTTGTTTGTTTGTTTGTTTGTTTGTTTTTTAAATAGGAAACAATGTAAATATATTTATTTTAATAATAGTGAATACAAAGATGTACTTCCTTGAAATAAGAGCTCTCTGCAGGTTTGAAGTATGTGGTCAATTACTTTGGTGGGGTGACAATTGCTGGACATGTATTTAAAGAAATATAAGACTGTTGATAAATAAAATCATAATAGTCAAGCTAATATCCTTGAACAACATCACCACAGTTATTTCATTAAGCTCATGCTGCTGCCATAGTGTTACCAGTAATGCTAATCAGTATCTGCTCATGACTTCCTTATTTGCATATTCAGAAATTAATATTATAATGGCTTTATAAACTGGCTGTTTATACTACACTGTTAGTTCCCTCCTGGAGGCCTGGTTGGTGCTGTATTGTGAATTCTTGCACACTGAATTCCTGAAGTGCTGCAAATACATCTCTGAATTACTGAAATGCTGCAGGTGATGCGGTGACTGCACCACGTAAACTGCACACCCAGTTCTCACCTCTGTCAGCAATCTACTCCAGGTTAATTGAATTACTCAGTGAGCAATGCCTCTTTTCATAAGTGAAGACTTGCAACATTGGATTTTTACTTCGTGTTGCTCCTTTTGTACAGCCATAAAAGCCAGAAAATGCTTTGCAGTTAAATTATGCTGACATGGAAAGATGCACCTTGCAGATCTAGTTTGAATGTTCTTTATCTGTCACTTATTCCAAGTCCAAAGCAGTTCACAGTGTTTAAATGGAATAGCAATATTAATTGTTCCTAATCTATTTCACTGCAAAATCAAACGTTTTAGTTTAAATTACCCTGAAAGTGGCACTGCTGAAAGGCAGTAACTAACGGGTGAAGTCAATTACTGGCTTCAGTAATTTTTTCAACTGCTGCAACTTGATCTGCAGGAGTAAATCAATCTGTGCTATGACAGGGAGAATAAAATGAGAAGAGACAGGGAAAAAAATTACATTTTTACCTGCACAATGAAAAGACTGTAGCTGTGTTAGTACATGTATATTTGAAACAGATGCTAAGGTGGTAGAAGCTAAGATTCCATTAACTAGAAAAATTACTTTACATGGAACTCTTGTACCTCACAGAAATGTTATTCTAGAAGATCCTAAATTCTGAAATGACAGAATTATATAAAGATTAGGCAAAGTAGCATATTGTCTACGTGAGTTTAATAGTGTTATTTTTCTCTTCAAAGTTCTTGGCTAAAGGCTGTGTATAGATACACAGATGTCTGTATTTACCTCTATCCTCCCATTCTACTTCCACCTTTCTTGAGGATGTTAACAATCTTAAGAGGCATTACATGGTTATTCAGAACCGAGGTTGAGAAGTACAGAATTTTCTTCTGTGCAGAACAAATCTTTATCTCACTTTAAAGGTATTGGTATTCCAGAGTACTTTGCTTATATGTGAACAGAGATTACCAAATTTAAAATTATATGAAATTTCTTACAGTTCACCAGACAGATTTCCACCCATTGTTGGCTGAAGCTCACCAGACATCCACCTAGATTATATTTTTCTTGCCAGTTTAAGTTCCTGAATTAAAAATAGCTGGATTTCTTTGGGGTTGTTAACAAACATTATATAATTTTGTCAGTGCAAAACTTGGGGGAGACTTAAGACAAGTGTTTTTGGTTTCCCATCTTTTAAGCAAGAGGTATAAAAAGATCTGTTTCTCAGCAGATGGTTCTTGAAAACTTCTTGCCTACTTTTTTCTTTGCAAACAAACAAACAAAAAAAATTGACTACAGTGTGGTAGAAGGATGAAAGGAAGAGGTTTTTCCAAGGAGCAAAGGAATATCTCATGCTGGAAACAGGGATTTCTGTACTTATTTCTTCATTCAGTCTGATCCAGTTCTAAGATTGTTTCCTCAGTGTTTAAGTGATATTTTCAAGTAAAAAGTTGTGCAAGAAATTTTATGCATTTGTATGAAGGATTAAGTCAAATACTACTTTATTAAACAGTTTGGGTGGTTTGCCACAGGATAGGTACTCGTTTACTCTCTGTTACTTTAAGAACACAATATGCTCTAAATTTTTAAGAGTTTTCCTTTTCTGTTTTCCAGCTACTCCTGGTGTTCTACACGAATACTCATTAGTCATTCTGGAGATGGACTTGCTGTCTGGAACCTACCTCTTGGCAGTCTTATTAGCCTGTATTGTATTCCAATCTGGCGCACAGGAGAAGAATTACACCGTGCGGGAAGAACTGCCTGAAAATGTCCTCATTGGCAATTTGCTCAAGGATCTTAACCTAACACTGGACCCAGACGTGCCCCTTTCCTCACCACTGCAGTTCAAGCTCGTGTACAAGACTGGGGATGTGCCACTGGTCAGGGTAGAGGAGAACACTGGGGAGATTTTCACAGCTTCAAACCGCATCGACCGGGAGAAGCTCTGTGCCGGCATCTTCAGTGAGAACCGCTGCTTCTATGAGGTGGAGGTGGCTGTTTTGCCTGATGAAGTTTTCAGACTGGTCAAGATCAGATTCCTAATAGAGGATATAAATGACAACGCCCCCCTTTTCCCCTCGACGGTGATTAACATCTCTATCCCTGAAAACACAGCAATTAATTCTCGCTATTCTGTCCCGTCTGCCATCGATCCAGACATCGGTGTCAACGGGATTCAGCATTATGAGCTGCTCAAGGTGGGTTTCTTCCATTCTTCTGTGTTACTCTCTGTGTTACTGTCTTCCCACAAATGTTGCCAGTCCTTACCACCCCATTAGAATTCTGAAGCTGTGTGCCAGAGTTGTGGTGCAGTGCAGGTACGTCTTGAGATGTGAATCTATACCCCTGAGTGCATTTACTGCACTGTACCTTCACTTTGTGGAGAGCTCTTTGTGCATGTGCATATCTGTGTAACACTGTGATGAAACATCCATGTCTTCATGAGCTCTCTACCAAAATTCAAAGTGTGTGTACACTTTGCCTGTCAGTTGTCTTAGACCATAAAAGCTGGGTGACAGTGCCAAGTGCAATAGTATTTTGCATTAGGTTTATACCTCCCATCTTTATGTAAACATCTGTTTTTGTGTGTCTATCTTGCACAGCTGTTAGATTTGAGCAGCAGAACTTCTCCCAGAATTTGGTGTGATGCTCATCTCTATATTGACGAGCTGTTCCAAAATGAAAGAGTCCATTTGTCAAAGCAGCTTTGCAGTGTCTGGGCAGATCCAAGATATGCACGAATGCAAGAATAGCAGTGCCAGTGCAAATATTTCTTATTCTTGCTTGTTTTACTCTTTCTACATAAGAACAGGAGGACTGCAATTAAGGAACAAAAGAATAACATATAAGCATGTGGTGTTTATATAAACAAGAGTGTGTGATTGCTAAATACAGGATTACTTTCATTTGAATTTGCTAAAATAGAGAGTTTAGAACAAGAAAGACACTTGTCCTAAAACTCTTGGGGGAAGCTGAAAGTGTCTTCATTTCCCTTGATCTGGAATCTGGATCTATTTTGTGATTTGACTGCTCAGCAATCAATCTGACACTCATTAATGACCAGAAAAATACAGACTCTATGGGCCAATATATTTCTTGGCTGACTTGATAGCTGATATTCACATATATTAATACTTACTAACAATTTAATAAAACTAAAGTGCTGCTTTATTTTTTCTCTTTTAAATTGCTTGAACCTTGAGGTAGTTGTGTTAGTGTGGGTAGTAAGCAGAGACAAAGACAAAAATCTCTTTCAGAAAACTGCATCCCACTGGGCATTTCTAGTTAGTCAGCAAAAAAAAAAAAAGAATAAGAATAATAATTAAAAAAAAAAATCCCACATATGTCTGTCTGCTCTCAGTGTAGCCAAGGGATTTAAGAACTTGCTGTAATGTTTGAGGTCTGTGTAGTAAGCTTTTTAAAACCTTCCCTAGGTTATAAGGAGAGCAGGTATATCTATGTGTGTGATTTTGTTTGGGTTTTTTTCAGATAGCAAAGCAGAAACACTCTTCTTTATTTGGCATATTAAATGAGATTCTGGGGAATGAATAATAGCATATTAAATAAATAACTGTAGGACTAGAAAATAATAAAAAATCTAGGGTTACAGGCAAAATGTGGCAAAATAATACCTGGTCTAACAGAGAAATATTAGTTATCTGAGAGAAAAGTGCTGTTATTGTAGGAAAAGGAAAACTGTAGAAAATGGCAAAATCAGGAGTCCCTGAGACTGAGTGAGCAACAGTTCAGATCACTACAATAGCAAACTTGTTTTTTCAGTTTATTTTTGGACTGTGTATTCAGAAAGAGAATGTAAGAGATCAGCAGAGGTGGTAGCACATTGTGTCACACAAGTGGGAGCTCGTCTGAAATACAAGCTACAGCTCTACCAAAGGTAGTGTAGTTCATAAGGCCTTGTCTAGAGATGTAGTGTGAGATAAGATGCTCTGCCAGAGAGGTGTTTTACCAGTAAACGTGCAAATAAGTTTCAAATAACAATTTATTTAATTTTTAATTGGGGGAAAAGAAATTAAAAAGAACCTGTTATATATTGGAAAAACTGCTTTTACCACATAATGGAGAGAAAGGTTATGAGATTAAACACATACTGGTATGGACTTAATGTTCTGAAATCCTGTGCTACACATGCCACAAGAAAAATAATTTGTAAAATCGCAGCCTTTTAGTCAGATCTTCTAAAGGAATTAATTGCATTTTTCGCTTACATGCCTGTTGTTCAGGTTCTTTTTGAGTTATGGATCTACTGCCTTCAGATAAGTTAGCAATTCCACATACCTTGGGAAGTATCTGTAAAGCCATGAAGGTGTTTAGGGCAGCCAGACGTCATCTGGAATAGTATGTCCTGATGTCATTCTATTGTTAGTTTTTAACTGTTAATATCAAAAGTGAACATAAGAGGAATAAAAAAGTAGAAGAAATGAAAGATTCTGGTGAGCAGGCAGGAAATCCAACATATATTCCAGAGGAAGGCCATGAAGATGATTAGAACGATGAAACACCTCTCCTATGAGGAAAGGCTGAGACAATTGGGAGTGTTCAGCCTGGAGAAAAGAAGGCTCCAGGGTGACCTTTTTGAGGCCTTCCAGTACCTGGAGAGGCTGCAAGAGAACTGGAGAGGATTGTTTGACAAGGGCATGTCACTACAGGACAAGGGGGAATGGCTTCACACTGACAGAGGGCAGAGGTAGATTGGATATTACGAAGTAATCCTTCCCTGTGAGGGTGGTGAGGCCCTGGCACAGGTTGCCCAGAGAAGCTGTGGCTGCCCCATCCCCTGGAAGTGTCCAAGGCCAGGTTGGACGGGGCTTGGAGCAACCTGGGATAGTGGAAGGTGTTCCTGTCCATGGCAGGGGATTGTAACAAGATGATTAAGGTCCTATTCACTGAAACAATTCTGTGATTCTGGGATATACACAGATCCATCCCGCCCTGGGGAAAATTAAGGAGATGAAAAAGGAAGGGAAGAGTGGTGGTGTCTGAGAATTCTTTCCTGGGTAGTACTGAAATATGAAGAAAGAGGGTGACAGGCACATGAGGGTGATGTTGCTTTTGCTTGCCTTTCCTCCCCAAATATTCTTTATGAGCAATATCCTCCTCTGGTTTTTGTTGTACACTCTTAAGATACTGATGTCTTCTGGCTTCAGAGATGTGTTGACCTTTTCCTTCCTTTTATAACCAGCATAGAAAAACATGGGGAAGCTGCAGCACAGGAAACTGTCCTGCCTTTCGAGCATGACGAGTCTGGCAGGGCTGGCAGATGACAGTCGTGGGGAATTTTGGAAAGCACCTAGTATGAAACTCATGGGCAGGGCAGCTTACTTGGAGGATGGCAGAGGGTTGGGAGATGATAAGATATGAAAATCCCTTCAAAAAAGCAGAAAAGCTGATGCTTTAGTGTGTGTGCAGCATTAGAGTGAAATGTGTTGCTCTATGTTTTGGAGAGAAAGTAACAGAAAATTGACAAGTTGTGCAGAGAGTTTTCCATTTATACTTCAATTTTGAAAGAAATTTAGCTAAAATTTGCTTGTTGCCTGTGTGAAGCCCAACTCTATTTTGCCAGAAGACAGATATTTTTCCCATTACAATGTCTAAAAAAAAAAAAAAATAAACCTCTCAGATGAATCGTTTATAGGTTTTTAACACATTTTCAGCAACTCTGCAGCTCCTTGGGAAGGTAACAGTCATGTGTTACAACATTTCTTCACTTTGTTACACCTACCTTACTGCCCCTTTCAAAGTGTGGGGAAAAGGTTACATATAATTGTTGTATTCAGCTTCTTTTGCAGAGTACATAAAAAATGATGAAATCTTTTAACTATATGAAAGACCTTCATGTTATTTTCATATCTTGCCTCTTTCTAAAACTCTTTTTGAAAGAATAGAAAACAAAATTTTGTAAAAATATGTATTTTTATATTCTGTGTCCAGCGCTACGTGGAAGCTCTGTAATGCAGGATTTGACTTATTTAAAGCAAGAGAGTGCTTTGATTACCACACAAATTAGCACTTGAGTATTTTTTGTCTGCCTGCATTTTATCAAAATGTACCTCAATAGAGAACCACTTCTTTATATGTAACTGATTTGTGGTACTGCAGCTTCAAAACTTGCTGAATGACAGGTGTCTGTCATTCAACTGTCTGAAATGCATGAACTCTAAAAAGGCAACAGTTTTACAGTTAGTAGAAAAGAGGAGCCAGACATGCAAGGCATCTCACTGTTATCTAAAGAAGTTGTTGTGCAAAGAATTATAAAATATTGTGTTTCACTGCTGAGGTACCCAAAGGCGACCATGGAGAAGATGATGTGGAGGTTTCAAGTGGTAAATGGTATTTACTGTGAACAAGGGTAGGAGGGAGAACTTAGATCTTATTTAACAAAAGAAGAAAAGGCATTTAGAATGAGAAATAGCTGGATTGGGCAGCAAGATGCCACAACAGTGATGGTAGGAGTTGGTAGAAGGGGCAGCTAAGATAGTGAAGTAGTTCAGAGAGAGAAATGACCAGATGGAAAGCCAATGATTTTTGTCTCAGTTGAGGTAACCACCTAAAGTATAAATGGGAAATAATAGGGAAAAGAGTTGGGCATTCATAAATAGAAGTTGTATGTTAAAACAGTAGGATGAAAGAGCAAATTTGAAACTGAAACTTTAATAAACAGTGATTTCTGTTTCAGGATGAATCTAAATATACTATTGTTCTGGTTTAACCTAGCAGGCAACTAAGTCTACAGGGCTTTGTTCACCTCTTCAGGGCATTCCCATTGTTTCCAGACTGATGTAACGTACATTGTCCCTGGCAATGCCACCACAGTGTTATAAATGCCTACGTGCTGTTGTTGATTACACTACTTCAGTACACTTATATTTTAGTTCAAGGCAAGCTAATATTTAGTATAACCTGATTAATATACTTTGAATTTACAGCCGTCACAGGCCTCTGCTTAGATTATGAAGATTTCAGTGTGAAGCATTTCTTTTTTCTATTGGATGTTAAAAAGGGGAGCTGGTTCAGAGTTAAATTGCAGCTTGTATACTACAATGGAATCACATGTACTTCCAAAAGATTCGTATAAGTGTACGTTTTAAATGATATTTTATTATGGATTACTTAGTATTTCTTGTCAAGTAGAATGTTACATACGCTAGGAGTTGCATCATTGCAACAGGAACAGAGCATT